CCAAGAGCAGAGAAAATAGTGTATCTTTCCTGGCTCTGCACAGTGCATACGGTGGTGAATAATCCATACCATCCATACAGGTGAAACAGAAAGACCCACTGGTGCACAGGCCCCACTCCTGGACCTGTGTGAAGAACAGTGACACCCTGACCATCTCTTCTGCATCCCGCTCTCCAAACCGTGGATTGCAACTGTACCTGGTCCTAGCTCAGCTGTGCGAGGTGAAGGAAGACTTCTTGTTCACCTCGTCCCGATCTGCAAGGAACGACCAACAACCCCGCTTCTACAACGAAACAAAAATACTTGTCCAAATGATTTTTACCTTCCCTCTTCAGCAGGGAATTGGTTGTAGCTGTCACACCTAATTTTGCAGAAGGTCTCTTCGGCCATGAAGTTTGGAAGCTTTCTAACCCCGTCATCCACATGGAAATCCAGCCAGCACTTAACAGACACCTCTATGTGATGAGACACTTAGGAATAGCAGCCTGATTCCCCTATTCATCTCAGAGTATCACTAATTATTACTACAGTTCTTGAAGATCTTGTTAACAGCAAACATGACTGAAGTGCACTGTCCTTGTGTAGATTAATGTTTAATATAGTTACAACCTCTCTCTATTTACCACAAACCCATCTCTCGTATAAAAGCTTAGTGAGCCAGTGGTGAATAGTTTTAATATTGCATTATTTTCCCATTATTTCCATTTCAGTCATTGCAATGTGGAATTGGCTCTCAGTATTCAACTGCCATTGATGCTTAGGTTGAGACTAAATAGATGTCTTTTTTTTTTCTTTCAACCTGTGACTTTTCTGAAAGAATTGGCTGTTAAAACATGATAGACATTTATTTAATTGCCTTCTGATCAAATCATAAGCCATACCATAGCATAGAGGTCAAGAAGAGAAAATCTTTGGGGTTTACTGACATTTCAGAACTTTATCATTAGAAGAGACCTTGAGACATTTGCATCTGGTAATGGTTGTTCTACTTTCATGTATAATGACCTATTTCTTATAGAATAGCTAATATCTATAAATTTTTCATTTGCTGCCTAGAGATTTCAATAAAAACTAAGAGATTTGAATTCAGTGTATGTGTCATATATCAAATTATTATTGTAAAGATTTTTCTCAGCTGCTTAAAAATGGTCATATACAGGGTATATACTGTCTCTTTTTACCTCTATCAAAAAAACCCAGGTTCTGCTGGATCAGAGATAGTGTTTAGTATATAAAGGCCTCTTGATTTTGTCATCTGTTTAGCTCTGCTCATTATTAGATGAATAACCCCAAAACCTGTAGCACTAAACATAAAATAAAATAAATTAAAAAAAAAAATTGTCTTGTTTGAGCCACCATTACACCAGGAGATAAGAGTTCATGTGCTTGTATTACATATATCATTCAGCTGTCAGAGGAGGGCTCTCACATTTAAGTGATTTAAGATTATAGATCAGAGGCCACTTGCTTCCCCTTAAGTAATAACAATAAATAGGCTAATGCTTTTAGTGTCATTGTAAATTCCTTGTGTTTTGAACACTCAGAGACAGGCTGAAGCACTGAGGTTTGAAGACAGGCTTTGAAGATGAGCTATTTCCAAGAATAGGGAAGCCAAAACAGTGTGCTTTTAAGTGCCATTACTTCAGTGTGGGAGAACAAGTCCTCTTTCACATACAAGGACAACAGACAGGGGCTTTAACATAAAGTTCTGTTTGAGACAGCTTGCTCTCACAAGCAGCAAGGACCAGATCTTCATATATCTTCCTCCATGCTAACTTCCACTTTGCCTTCAGTTCCCATCTAAGGACTCAACAGTTTTAGCCAAGATCTGTTTTGGGACTACACAGTGTATGTGTCATTCTAGCACAGAGAGTTGAGATGTGATGCAACAAATCTACATGTTAAGTGGTAGTAATTCCAATCAAGTTATTAAATTTTATTTCAATTTCAAGCATATTAATTTAAAATCCATAGTTATCAAAGAAATACAGGCATGGGTTTATTTTTATTCCATCAAATTGCTAGGATTGTTTATTACCATAGGAACCTACCATAATGCTCATGTAAGAAATTTCATTCTCTGTTAGTACATTAGCCTTTTTGTTCTTCGAATTTGGATTTCAAAACATGCTGATTTCAACATGCTGAGTGACTGAATGAAATGTTTTATAAATTCAAGATAAATGATGTTGTAAAACACATTTCACTCTGACAATGCTGTTATATTTGGAACAGTTTAGGATGTAATCCTGTATGTTAGGTTGAAAAACATCCTTGGATGATGGAAACTGAGCTGCCTGATGGAAACTGAAAAGTTGAGAAATTCCTCACTAATCGTCATGTGCCACAAGCACACGTGTTTTGCAAAGTAATAAGAAGCTTCTTGAAAAGTTCGTCAAAATTAAGGAGAATGGGAAATCACAGGATATCCACACAACAAACTGGTCAGAATCCTATTACTGGAGCTTTGAAAACTAGATTAAAAGAAACCCCTAAGGTCATGTCCAGGCCATTAGACAAAGCAGAGCAGAGAAGCAATTCAAGACCTGGGGCAGTAATCACCTATTCCAACCTACACTGGAGCACTATCTGGATTTAGCAGCTCAGCTAAATCCAGTTTAGTCCCATTACCCCACAGTGCCTACGTTAATAAATCTGACTTTGTGTACCTTGGAAGTTCCTACAGCATACTCCCATTCACTTCCTGCTCTAGGTTTAGTACAGATGGATTCCATTTAAATGCAGAGGGCCTTACAAGTGGGCTTGAAGGGGTAATGAAGGACCTAATGCCAGAGAAATGATGTACCCTACATGACTATTTTCTGGGAGTGTACCACTGTTTCTACAGTTTTTCAGCTGGAATTTACACCATTTTCTCTTTTCTGTTTTGGTGAAGCACATCACAACACCTTCCTGAGTGGAGATAAAAGTAGGAAGGCTGCCTGGCTACAACACAGCTTTCCACCTTTTTGCTAAAACAAATCCTGACTTTGGCCAAGGTCCTGCATCTCAAAGCAAATTGCCTGATCCTTACACTCGTACAGTCCCAGGGGTGATCAGTGTAGGCACTTCTGGCCACTGCTGCTATTGCTTTTACAGACTTGAAAGCTGTGAGGGATAGAAAACACCAAAATATTCAAACCGGTGCTCAAGTTCTTACGTTTATCTTGTCTCCTGATCTTCTGTAACATGGGGTTTTCTGGGAAGTTCGATTAGATGCAACTACTGGTGTCCAGATGCAGAGGTTCCTGAAATCCTTCCACTGTTTTAAATAGGTTTTGGATCCAAGCCTAAGTTTAGGTAAGTCTTTACCAAGGGAAAATTGTTAAAAACCCAAGTCGCAGATGTTACAGCCATATTAATTATCTAGCTAAGCAGCCACTACTATCTTACAGATGAGAGAACACTGCTTACCAGGAGTCGAATATTATGGCCCTAACTGCATTTTTATAATCTATAAAAGCGGACATGCGGAAACTATGGAAGGAAATTTCAGTAATTAAAGCATAGGTTCTCCTAATTCACTGCAAAGCATCATTAAAATCTAATGAAACTGTAGTGGAATAATACAGGATTCTGGCTTAACTGCAAGGAGATAAATGCAAATGAAAGTTGAATTTTTAGATGGTTTTGAGTTTACATGATAGGACTGAATGCATTTACAGTAGTTTACACTATAAAAGCTCACTTTTAACACTGCATGAATCAGGATTGGAAAGTTAGAGTATTAGTGTATAAGAAGTTAACATCTTACAGAATGTGGCATACTGAAGCACAAGAACCAAAGAAATCAAAATCCTTGTTACTGAAAATAGTTGTATTTTTGATGGTATCCAAATTTTACAGCCCATGATTAATATGATAACTGCTATTGCACCAGCATGATGTAAGACTAAATTTTTCAGTGGAGCAACTTCATCTTGGCATATCTGAGCAAGCTGCATCATCATCACATATCTTGCAATAGATTCAACTGAAGCAAGAACTTCAAACCTCTGCAAGCACTAGACATTTTAAGATATTAATATGCCATGACACTTTCTTACCCTCCCTCAAACTTTTAAGTTCTTAGGAGTGAAATCTTCACGGTAACTGGAGATTGAATGCCTAATTTCAGCTGATGTGTGTCAGGTCCACAGAAGCCACAGGATTGTCGATCTCCACTAACCAAAAATCTAGACCTAAAACTGTTTTATCTTGCCTGCATTCAAGGTATTGCAGTTGGAAACCTTCCCATCTGACTTCAGCTCTCTAAAATATCCAAGACTACTCATTGCACATATCATGGGGAAAGAGAAGCCCTGAGGACAATTCACTTGGTCTGTCCTGGCACACAGTGAATCACTCTCCAAAGATGACCTACTTTAATCAGCTTTTGAAGAAACCTAAATGACCAGTCCTTTCTGAAGGCTAAAGTCCTGTAGGACTTCTACCCCACATGGCTGCCAGCAGTGCCACATTTTCTATATCTCCCTACCAAAGACCTTAAGTTCTAGCTGTGATATTTTAGCTCAAGGAGATCAATCTCTATTGCCATTAAATCCTACACTAATTACGCTGATGGATACGTCGATGTCCTGGGTATCAGCAAAGGTCCAAGCCAATCAAACTCATTTCATTGCAACTCACAGATACCAATAATTTTCAGAATAGTACCAATGTAGGTTAGACATCAAATTACATTCATGGACTAATTTGAAGACCAATTTCCCATTGATTTCAATTGTTAAGTATATTAAAATTATTTAACATTTAGGCAAAGAAAGACTGGAAATCTGAAAACATTTACCATAATGGAAAATAAACGCATAATTCCAAAGCAGCAAAGCAGTCTTTTTTTAAAACATCTAGGTTTAGATCAAAACAAACAGAATAATGGAGAAGCATGCAGTTAAGGACTTGTTAGTAAGTTATATACTGTTATACAGTCCTGTTTCTAAGAATGTACACAAAGGACACAAAACTCTTCTTGTCTAAATTGTTACCTCATGTACTCATACCTTCTCTGTGTCAATTCCTTTAGACATGGACCAGGTTGAGACAATATAATCCATGACTCTTTCACTAAGGCCTTTTGGGACTTGATATAATTTTAGGAAATCCCTCACATTGTTCAGCATCTCATGGTATCGGTTGGTGTTGGCATACATTTGCTGGAAAATGGTGGTGACGTTTCCAAAAATAGTTGCATAAAGAAGAGCTGAAAAAAACCAAAGGTGATTAAAAGTAAATATGTAAACTCCAGCTATTGCTACTTATAATTCAAGGATAACATCAAAGAATTTTATGTATGGTTACAAATTACTGCAAATACATAGGTGTAAACTGAACAATTCTATTTACGCATATACTCTCGCACATATACATGTACGGAGTTATTTCTTGAATTTACCTATACAGCTCATATGGCCACTCAGTGTGCATTAATTTACAAAATCAGTCATACAGATAATGTCAACACATGGAATTATTTAAAAACAGACAGTGCATTTTAACTGTACACTCTATCCTAATCCAAACTAATTTTCAAATGTAGCTTCAGCCTGCCAGTAAACCCTGAAGGCACTATCCAAAGAACCATGCTGAACTCTTACAAGACCATCTTAGTTAGCATGTGCTATGAGTAAAGAATGGCCTCAGTGCCAAAGAAGAAATGAAATGGAGAAGAAAGGAACATGGGAACCCTGTCAAAGAGCTACCTAGACAAGTAGGGTCCTGTGTCAACAGCCAAGATGTGCATAAGAAAGATTCAGAGTGTCATTTCACAGTCCACTTTCACAGCCAGTCCCAGCAGACAACTTGGGTATGTCACATCAACAGCTAATGATTTCAATGAGAGAAACACTGATGAGGGGACAACAGAAAGTTCCATTGCTGAAGGCATATGATTAGGACAGAAGGAGCACACGGTAGAATAGGAAGCACTACCTCAAACCCATTCCTGGAGTTACCTTTTCTTCTAGTTTGATTCTCCTCTTTCCGCATCTGCCACCATTACTGTCAAGCTCAGCAAGTTAAGTTGCGCAATACCAAAGAATGGCATGCCATAATTGAGAAAATCACATGCTTTAAGTAAGCCTTTCCAAATGAAAAGGCATAAACCTCCATATATTATTACAAGTGTGATACAGTGAACACTGTTTGATGGAGAGTGAAAGCTAAATTTGGCAAAGCATTTAAGCAAAAACTTAAATGCACACCTTTACTGGTATTGTCTTAAATAGTGGTGGATGGAAAGATTCTTCTAAAGTCAAGCAAGTGCAAGATGCCTTATTGAGTCATAATGTAATTACCTTTGCAAGCAAGCCCAAAATGACGTTCTTCCATTAGGCATTACAGATTTTGCAGAAAACAGAATTATTCTGGTATCTCATAATACCAATGTGTGGCACCACTTCTGCTTTTGACGTTATCAAATACACAGAAATGTGCCTATCATTTTTAATAATCTTTATTCAGAGGTGCTTTATAGCAGAGTGCTGCTATGCATTTCCATATGGCTTTTTTGAAAAACAACGGCAGCCTACAAACGGCAAGAAATAACCCACTGTGAAGGGAAATAATGTCTTCCATCTCTCAGTGAATAATGCCTTCACTCTACACAAGATATTTCTACCTCATTCAAGAAAACTCACTTTCTTTCATACTAATTTACTATTGTTTATCACACCTATTTGAGAGGTCACATTAAAAAAAAAAAAAAAAAGCTGCTTTCCTAAAACTGTATAATAAAAAAAATTGCACTTCAATTTCTCACAGCTCTTTTTACTACATCCATGTAAAACTTAGATGCTGAAGTTCATCAGAAATGTGATGCTGATTGTTTTACCAAGTCTTGGGATTTTCCATCTTGACACACAAGAACATAACAAACCAGGTCATACAATGTGCAGCAAAATCAAACACGAGGTTTCAGTTTTTAGAAAACACAGCAGATTAATACTGTATGTGATATCCAGAAATAAAGCTTTTTGCAAGGGTAGGTTTTTACCTTGCTTTACTGATTGTTGCATCACACCTGCTAGCTACAGAAAGGTTTTCTCTATCTCTATATGCATTCAGATATACAACAACAGTCAAAGTAAAGAGTATGTGGATTATAAAAAAATCTATATTGGTGAATGCCACCTGATTCTTCTCTTTTTTTTCATCTTTTTCCATTCTTTTGAATTGTTGTAGAAGGGAAAACTTGATGAACTGTCACTTCTAAGTGCAACATCCCTCATCCTTCTGAAGAACAGTTGCTGATTTATCATAAACTCAATCCATCATATATGTGAGTGCACAATACTTCTTGTCTCCCTCTCTGATGTTAGATGCACCTGCAATTACTGTGACTACAAATGTAAAGAGAAGCTGGGACTATCCCCAAAATGTAGTTACAGCTAGACTGCATAAGCGGTTACAATGCATGAGACCCAACTGACCATGCAAACCTACACAGAAGACCCAGGCTAACTAAAAATGTGACAAAGTTCCCTGCAAGGTCAGGAAAAGAGAGCTCCAACTCTGATACCTCCCAGGTTGAAAACAGCAAATAATACCATGGCGAAAACAGCTTGTCTGAAGCAAATGGCACATGTTACCTTCTCTGCAAAAAAATTACTCTTTGGCAGAGGCAATTTGCAGAAAATATACAGTCAGAAGAGAAATTCTAGTTCTGTGTCTTCTAACACAGCATCCTGGAAAGTTTTACTTAAAACAGTATGTATGTTCAAGAAATAAAGGATAGGATAAATCATTGGACCAAGCCTGCAAAATCACTGAAAGCATTACCTAGCAGTACCTCACTAAGCCAGAATTCAGGAGTCTACATGCTGTAGAGTCAGCACAGACAAAATCAGCATTATCTCTGTGTTGGAAATCAAAGCCTTCCTTTGCCTCCTATCAGAAATGGTAAAGACACATAGTTGAGTTCATCTAAATATTCCTCTTCTCTTACAGGTCACTGCATGGGGGGCCTTTGTCAAATATTTAAAGGGAACCTACTCAGATCTTCCCAGCTTTGAAGCTGTGCAAAAATACTCTCCTTGCCTGTGGTGCTTCCCTGCACCAACACTGGTAGCTGCCGAGACTCATTTGCAGGTTTTGAGCACGTTTTTCGTAATCTGGCATAGACAATCCAGCTCTCAGTAAATCATCTCCCCATCCCCCAGGGTTTTACATCCAGTTCTCCTCCCTATCCCCCCCAAGAAGGAGAAAAGCGGGGGGGGGGGGGGGGGGGAGTGAGCAAGCAGCTTCTTAGTTGCTGGCTTGGTTTAAAAAATCACAATCTGATACTTAGTAAAGAATGTCATTTAAAAACCCCTACTATACAGAACAAGTATGTGCTGATAAGGAAGTAATACATAAATAATTTGCATTGTAATTGTGACACCTGTTGTGACACTTCTCTACAGGGAAAGGACCCTCTGCTTGGGAGAGTCTAATGAGAAGAAATCAGTCTGCCTTAAAAATACAATTTATCTGTCTTTGCTCTTCGCTACCCAACTTTCAGCTGGGGTAGTTGTGTGAGCTGCAAATATGAGAGATGGGACAGGACAGAGAGATGAGCTGGATCAGCTCCTTGGTTGCCCAGTATGTCTCAGCTCAGGAAGTTGATCAACTATAGAGCAGGTTGGATCCCCTGGTGGCGAGCATCTAAAGCTGCTGTTGCCTTTTTCAGCCTGTAAAAGTTTAAGGCTCTTCATCAATAATCCTTAATGCCTTAAGCAAACAAAGATTTCTCAGAGCATCCCTATTTAATGAGCAGATGCTGAAGTGCCAAGTGTGAACCTTCCTCCTCACCTTTAAAAAACAAAGGCAGAGGACAACTACCAAGGGCATTTCACTTTTTCTGGATTTTAATTATTTTTGGCAGGCAGAACTGGCAGTAAAGATCATTTGCAAAAGGTTCTGAAGGAAACAAAATCCTGTGCCTCTCTTGCCAGTAAGAGGATTTAAATAATCTCTAAAGAAATCTCTACATACACTTCAACAGATTAAATTTAGTCTCCCTCGTTACAAGAAATGGGAAAGATGATGCTACAGAGGTTGAAGGTAAAAATACCCAGTTTCTTAAAAGGTCTGGATAGGTCAAATTGCATTTATTCACCTTCTCTTTTATGAACTGTATTTCTCCAGACATTTCGTGTTATGTTCCTACAGTCATGCACTGCTTATTTACTTAATTGTCCCATGTGTGTAAATCTGGAAAAGTACTAGATTTCATAGAGATCAATTTGATATAATGATACATAAATACTTTTTCTGAGTCCTAAAGGTGAGGTAGGTGGTTCAACTGTTGGTTTTATTTCTATTTTTACTTTTCACTGTTGAAAAATATCCTCTAATTAATATACAAGGGTCTCAGTGCTATGTATTTTTATATATAAAAAATGTTACTGTATTTGCACATATATAAACCATTTTTGAATGATTTACCAATAATGTTCTATAAATCTTTTGCTTGTTCAAAAATAAGGACCTTTTTAAAATAAAATTATTTGATTGCATATAAATGATTATATTTACCATACAGTCAGATTATGCTGACTGGATACTGAATATGTCCAGAAAGAAACATCTGTCTTTAGGAACTGAAGTCTTGCTTGAAAGATCTAATTTTCCTACAGTCTGCTCTATGCTAGATTATTATTAATCAAAGCATATACAATATGCCTGTAAAGTCTAGTTGTAAAGAAAATTAGTGAGGTGGGTGTCAGTCTCTTCTCCCAAGTATCAAGTATGCCAGTCTTCACTGGCAAATACTATGATCACATCACCCAAGTCATGGAAGGCAGATGCAGGGACTGTGAGAATGAAGACCTTGAGCCCACTATAGGAGAGGATCTGGTTCGAGACCATCTGAAGAACCTGAACGTGCACAAGTCCATGGGACCTGAAGAAATCCATCCACGGGTCCTGAAGGAGCTGGCAAATGAAATTGCTAAGCCGCTGGCCATCATATCTGAAAAATCATGGCAGTCAGGTGAAGCTCCCAATGACTGGAAAAAGGGAAATATAACCCCCATGTTCAAGAAGGGGAAAATGGATGACCCAGGGAATTACAGACCAGTCAGTCTCACCACTGTGCCTGGCAAAATCTTGGAGCAGATTCTCCTGGAAGGCATGCTAAGGCTCATGAAAGACAACAAGGTGCTTGGTGACAGTCAGCATGGCTTCACTAAGGGGAAGTCCTGCCTGACCAATTTGGTGGCC